TGCGTGAGTCGTACTTATATTAACACATAATACAACATGCTAAAAAACAAACACCAAAAAAATTGTTTTGATCTAAATGTAGTTTATCAGTTATTACCATAAAGTCAAGCTAAATGTTTACTGTGGTTTTTTCCAAGTAAACAAGACAGCAAAAATATAGATAGTCTTAGGATAGTCCTGTTGTCTACACTTCAAATATAGGCGATCAGAATGTATATAGCTCTACATTTAGAGCTATATACATTTTATATGTGCTTCTACATATGAAATAGCTTATAAAACATATCATAACATCATGAACAAATAAAGATATGTACTTAAGTGGCTCTTGTGCACTGTGTGTGCACCATTACTTTACAATATGTTATTTACCCCTTGATGAATGATGACGCCTTTTCCCCAGGTAGTCTCATCCTGTGTTTAAGCAAAGAAACATTTTTCATGTGTCTTCATCTGCCTGAAATAAACAGTGGGTCGGCAATTGTATTATTATGAACTGAAAATTTAATTAGTAGATATCAATCCAACAAACATCGTTGGATCATGATCTCTACCGGGCCCCAAAACCATATAATTTCAACCAGTTGACCGATGGATTCACACACAGGACCTTCTCTCTGTGATGCAACATTGCTGGACATTGAACCACCAAGTTTAAATCTCTTTAAATTAACCATATTTATCTGCTCTTCTTAAACCTTTAGTCAGTTTATTTTACAATATAAACCAGAGGAGCATGAATTGAGTGTTACCTAGTTATTTTAACGCATGTGCAGTTTTCTTTGTCTTTGCTCATGAACTGACCATATTGATATGCTGTGTCTATTGCACTGGTGGTCATTTAGTTTTGTTTGACATTAAATAAAACAAATGATGTATGATATTAGCATATTCCTGCTCGATGAAACTCCAGAAAATCAAAGTTCATGTATACAGTAAAAAACAGCCTTTGGTCGTACAGGGATAGGTACAGTGTGACTGATGAGCCAGACAACATAATCAACCTGGCAGGTGGCAATTTCTCTTTTATGTCAGATTCATTGGGCTTGTCAGACAGGGACACTGTGGCCGGGGAGCCAAGACACTAAATCAGCCACACTGCCACCAAGATCAGCCATGCAGAGGAAAATGAATTTAGGACTTCCACTTCCACGTTAAAACCTTCAGTTACTGCTGATATTTATTGATCTGCTGACTGGGTCATTGTGCTTTTAGCACAATAGCTTTGCTCCCAGGTACGAGACCTATAGGAACTCATGAAAAATAGAGCTGGTTTATATAGACCAGAATATATTTAATAATAATGTATGACTAAATGGAATTAGCTGTGATTAAATAAGAGGGTATTTGCTATTAGTCATAGTGATTGATAGTAATACATTATTGTGTTCAAGACTCGATGGGGCTCTAAGCACTGATGTGTAACACTCCACAGAGGCTAGCCTCATAACTCTTAATACTGAGAGGCACTAATATGGAGATATGCACATACACACATGAATTATGCATAATAATATTTTCTCTTTTACATAAGTTGTTTGTGTGTCCGTTTGTTAAGCTAAAATGAAATATAATTTAGCATTTTTATATACTGCTATTTGCTAATTGTGCTAAAACAAAAGCAATTGCAAAGTGACAGACTTGCTCACTTGTATTTTACATTAATTTCTCTTTCAAAAAAACATCCAAATCATCAGTGACACTGACATCGAGTGTGTGATAAAACGGAAAACAAACTCACACAAAAATTGTAATTTCCCTGACTCAGGTGCTCTACCAAGAACTGCTTCCTGTTCTGTCTGCAGGATGTGAGAATGGGGCCAGGGCAGCATGCCAGGTCTAATTTTTGTGGAGGCCAGGGCCATGCATTGCAGACTGGTTTCCACGTCAGTGTTGAGTGAATTAGAAGTGCTCTCAACTTTATTAAACCACAGCAGCTCTTACTGTAAAGGCAATGAGAGCTCAATCAGGTTATTCATCCAGTTAATTCAGACACAGGCAGGGGCGGACACAGAAACAAGCTTAGTCATGGCTGATTAGACACAAGTATAGATGTTTTGACAGCTCTCTTATCTGGAGAGGAAACACACTAATGTTAAGATGCTAGAGGTGGCTGTGGTGATTATGATGACAGGGATTTAACTATTGATCTTTATACATCTGCGCAAATGGGTGTTTGTTTAAGCGTGTAAAATTATGGAAGAAGAACAAAGAAGTGTCTAGTTCAAAAATCCATTAGAGTGTGAAACAGTTCCTCCCATGCTGGGAGACGAAAGCGATGCTTTTAGCTCTTTGTGTTGTGCACATTACACATTTCTTGATACGTACGTGTTAATTTCCAAGATTTCTTCCCCTGCAGTTCAGTGACAGAAATAATTAGATCAACTGATGAAAAGATATTTAAATAATAGGCAAAAATCTAAAATGTATTGCCTGCAACCACACTCTATTAAATAATTTAGTAGCCAGTGTCACCACTGGCATTTTAGCTTCTGCACTGTACTCCGAAGAACAGCAGTGTCTGTCTCTGTTAGAGGTGCTCAGATTTTCTTTTGGATGCTGTGATGATGCACTCATTACTAATGAGGGAGGTTTTGGTTTTCATTATATAGGGTGATCCAGAAATTTGCCTCCTGGTTACAGACTCTCATTGATCCATTCATCATGCCACCTGCTAGAAAGCAAAGTGTATTTCTTTACCATAAAAAGGTCACACAGAGAACATCAACAGGACACTTTATCACATAAACCTTTAACCCAGAAACAACTATTAGCAAGATGAAGTCATTTTTCCAGAGCAGATGGAACACCTGCTGCCACGGGGCTTTGTGCGGCTCTGTTTTGTTGATCTAGAGTACGACTGTTCAAATAGCTCGCACTCAATGCAGGACAGGTGGTGGTCATCATCAATGAAAACTGGCCTAGAATATTTAAGTGAGCAGATGTTCTGAAAAGCAGAGCACTTGTATGATCTGATTAAAGATATAGACTGATGAAAGGTTGTATGTTTATGTGTGGCACTTACTCTAGTACACACAAAATGGAGCGTATGTCTTCCTAATCTGCCACTTTTATGACATTTTTGAAACTGGCTGAATGTGATTGAATTCATGTATAGGTATCATTGTTTCAAATTTAAGGTATTAAGTTCTGGCTGGCTTGTCTGGACACTCATGTTCCATACACGCGCGCACACACACTCATGAACCCGCACATACACACACATTGATTGACAAAGCAGAGCCAGGTGATCAAAGCTTAGTGCACTAACAAAACCAGATTTGCTGTTTTTCAGTCTGCTCATCATCCTCATTCTTTTCTCCTAATGTGTTCATCTTCTTCTGTCTTCTGTACACACACACACACACACACACACACACACACACACACACACACACACATACACACACACACACACACACATGCACAAGTATTGAGCAGTATTACGCTCAATTTAAATTTTCTTATTTCTTATTGATTGCTTCTATGAGATGACGGAAATAAAATCTTGTTTCCACAAATGTCAGGTTGTTTGTCCAGTGATTGTAACACATAGCTCACTTGTGCGTCACATTTTGTGACTGCGTCATTCATTTAAGTACATTTTCATATAAAACATAAATGGCACTAGAATAAATGAGTTTTTATTGCAGTAATCTACGATAATTGAATAAGATGTCATCATTTTATGTCTGAAGAGCAATAAAAACTTTTGTTAGAATGTGTGTTCAAATACAGAATAGAAGCAGAATTTCATCTACATGCCCAGGAGTAAGAACTCTACTGATCAGATGCTCTTAAACGTAAATTATTATATATGGTTATGACTGGAAATTTCTGAATTTTAATTTCAGAAGGGTTCTGCACATCATTTATAACTACAGGGCTTCATACCAGCTCCATTAAGGAAAATCCCTTTTGTCAGAATTTAAGAGGTACCGCCCCACCCAGAGCTAACCACCATGCTCAAAGTGAATCACCTTTTAAGCTTTCTATACTGCTGCACATGTAATACACCCACTAAGTGCAGTGACAATAGCAGCCCCACTCTATCTGGTTAAACAGCTGAGTAATTGCAGTCATCATTTGAGTGGCTTATGTTATAGTTGAGGGCGCGCAGTGTGGGTCTGCTGAATGTAAGTGTGTTTGTTCAGTAACTTGAATTTGTTGTTTAAAGTAGATGAATGGTGAGTGTTAGTTCATTGCTGTTAAGAGAGACAGAGGTGGACTCGGCTACAATTGATGGCTTTAATAGCTCTCTTTTCAACAGCATCTCTAATCTGTTACTCACTCGACTCAGCTAATGCTTTGTTTAAACGTGGCAGGAAAACCTGCATTACAGCAGCACTAGGAATTTACATAGTTGCATTTGAATTATTCCGATAAATTCTACTTATACTGAAAGGAAAAAAAAACATTCAGCCCCTATGATTGCCATGGCTTTGCATGTAATATTTTTTAGCTTGTTTTGAAGTAATGCATCATATAATATGGCATTTATTTATGTGAAAACACAGGCTAATAAATTAAAAATAATTATGTAAAAAGACCCCAGTATTATTTTCACATGAGAGTGAAATGTAAATAAACGTGTTAAAGATTTCATTCTGATGAGTGATCGTTAAGTATGGCGAAGATGTTGTAGTTGAAGTACATTGCCTCTGATTCTACAGTTATTTATCAGCAAACACAACAGAAGAGGTTTTGCCAAGGTTTAATATTGCTATCTCTCCCCCTTACAAACAAAATAAAATGTCATTAGGGCTGTCACTAATGAGCTTTGCTACTATAGCGACATGGCTTTGGGGAGAGGATTTCTAATTAGCTGTTTCCTCATTCAGGTACACCTCATTTGTGGACAAACTTGTAATACATTTCCCCTTTTGAACTAATATGTCTTGGCATGCATACTCCAAAATAAGCATTGTGTCAGATGAATAATAGTAGGCAATGGGCTGTGAAATGCTGTAAAAATAAATTATCCCTCTTGTGTCTTTCAGATTACTTTCTCTCTCACTATGTGGGGAAAAACTGAAGTGGCATTCTACTGAGCCTGAAAACAGAGGCGTGGACTGCAAGACAAAATCAGATTTTCTTCATTTATTTGGATTAGGAATAATTCCTCACATCTGCACATCTTCTTGAAGAACTCATTCACAGAACTTAAGGAAAAACACTGGTCAAACAGTATCTTCCGCTACTCCCCATTGGCTTTCAATATGAGTGGTCTGGTAGGGAAGCTGGATCCTCGCAGGATACAGTGGGGGTCGACATGGAACACCTTTGCATCCCGTGTCCTCAGGACCAAGCCTGTGGAGTCCATGTTAGATTCAGCCATATCGGGTACAAGCTCACATGGAACCAGACTGGCCCGGGTTTTGTCTACGGTCGACCTAGTGTCGCTGGGTGTGGGCAGCTGCGTCGGGACGGGGATGTATGTGGTCTCTGGACTGGTCGCCAAGGAGATGGCTGGCCCTGGGGTCATTGTGTCCTTTATTATTGCTGCTGTTGCCTCCATTCTGTCAGGTGAGACTAGAGCTATGCACGCTCATTTATGCAAGGCTTCTCTAATCACATAAATACCAAGGGGACAATAGCCGCAACATAAAGGTTGCTGTCCTTCTTATTACCATTAAACTGGTAAGATATATTTGAAAAGCCTTTTAATACCTATGTAATTATTACAAGGGCAATGACATTACAGGGGCACAGCTATAATAGGTTCAAGAGATAGTAAAATATACTTTAATGCTCATATCAATAGTTTCAATTCAGCCTTTCACTCTAGTGATAATGCAGTCAAATCACTGATATGTGTCTGAATTTATGTGTGTCTATATTGTACTCCTCTTCCTGTCTCCCCCACAGGAGTATGCTACGCAGAGTTTGGTGTCCGTGTGCCTAAGACCACAGGTTCAGCCTACACATACAGCTATGTGACAGTGGGGGAGTGTGTGGCTTTTTTCATCGGTTGGAACTTAATTCTGGAATATCTGATTGGCACAGCAGCGGGGGCGTCAGCTCTCAGCAGCATGGCGGACTCACTGGCCAATCACACCATCAGTAACTTTATGATTTCACACATTGGAACACTCAACGGCTTAGGTAAGTAGCACAAAGATGCAGTGCTATGACAGCTTTGATACATTTTCTCTCTGGTTCTAATTTTCTCAGGATTGAAATTCATTCAAGTATTGTGTAAAGTACTGCAGGTTTACTGTGAATGCTTTTTTCAGTGTTATATTTACAATATTTCAGGGAACTGAAGCCAAAGTGCTTCTTAGAAATCACCTGTGAGATAATTTTCTTGAAGGCACATTTTTAAAGGCATTAAGAAGCAGGGTAATTCATTTAGAATCGACATCTTATCAGCAATCAGCTACAGTTAGTTGTTTTGGTTCAGCTGTCAAACATGTTTGCTTTAATGGTAAAAACATGCATTGACCCAAGTGACTTTTGGAGAGATGTTATCTTTTTTCTCCCTCCCCACTCTCCTCAGAAGGTCAGACAGAGCTCTGTTCCTTTTGCTGTAGTTGTAGTTAAGACAAATACTTCCTCTTTGAGGTCTTGAACAGACTTTGACATTTAGACTTTGAGAAGTACATTTAATAAATCCAGCCTTTGCTCTGCTTCCGTATTTGCACACTAACACGACTTGCTCCTAAGAGTCATGATTTACTTTATCAGTGTGGAATAGAAGCGCAGCGCCATTTCTATCATACAAAGGATCTCCCATTGCCTTGATAATCACAACACATCTTTCAAATTTTAATAAAAACACCAAGATAAAAATGCTTACATTATCTCAGAAACCATTCAAACCATACCAATTTATTTTTCCCAGGAACATCCAAAGAATATTATGCAGCTTATCTTGGAAGTCATACTGTCACGGAAAGTAAAAGCAGGCACATCAACTTGAATTCTATATAACACAGTTTTCCATAATCTTACCATGAGGAGGATGCCTGCTTATCTTGTGCAATGCTCCAGCTGATGTGTGTGCCAGCTATGTTTCTATCTGGCTGACACTGCCTCATCAGTTGCTTCCTGTTAGCCTTTGAAAAAGTGATGGTAGTGATCACATGACAAGTGTCACGGCCAGCCGTTCCAAATGATCACGGAAAGCTGATGTTTCCTTTTCCTGTTGGAGAGAAATGATTGTTTCTCCACACCCAAGGGGAAAAAATGTGAAATCTAACTAAAATATATCTCATTCATTTCCAAATACACACAGGCTGAGTTCTCGTGGAACATGTGCATCTAAAGATTTGTTGCCGTAATGGTCAACTGGGTGGGGTGTATCTAATTTAGGAATGCAGTACTTCACTATGACGACTTATCTTACAAAAATAGTTCAGTTGATGTGCCAAATCTAAAGGTGTTTCCAACTTTCTGTTGCCAAGAAATTAAACAGAGTTGGAAAGTTCAATTTTTTATTAAACCATGGCTTTGGGTGTTTTATTGGACCATTGGGGAATGTCCTGTGAATTACACATGAATTCACTGGAATACCCTTGGATAATTATCTACACATACTCCAACATACTCTATGAGAGCGGCTGAAACTCTTGGAAACAACAAATTAGTCTGGGATTATTTATTCTGATTAATAGTTGTGGTCAAATGTTTACATAGAGTGATCATGGACATGATTTCATATCGTGGAAAGTTTGAGCATTTAATGATTACTTTGAACAGTTTCTGTCTATGTGGGTTCTCAGTAATCTCTTAGATGAGAGGTGAAACATCATTTAAAAAACAAAAACAAATGCAAGTCACCTTCCTTTTAGCTCTTTAGACTTTGAACTGTTCTTTCTCTTGGTAAGAATAATTGTACGTCAAACATCTTTCGTGACAGATTCCATGATCATCACTTCAAATAATTGTACATAAGTAAAGTTATTCAGATGGGCCACCACTTTGTCAAAGTCTGAAAAAAAGGTCCAAACTGTCACCCTCAGATGAGAGAAAATTGGTTAAGACATGTGGAGCAAGCCAGGAACCACTGAGGCCTTAACCACTTAAGCCTGCCATGAACTGGAAACTGCTGGAATACCAGGGTAACAGTTACATCGCCATGGACTGAAATGGTGATGACCTTGAAAAGACCCTTTTCCAAAGTTGACACCTTTAGGCTCAACTTAAATTTTCAGCTGCCCACATGGATAAGCTAAATTTCTTATAGAGAAAGGTTTGATGGTCAGGCGAGACAAAGATTGAACTATTTGGCCACAATGACAAGAGTTATGTTTGGAGGAGTAAAGATGAGGCTTTCAAACCTATGAACATGCTCTGCATCTCTGCCACTATTGTATTGGTACAATGCACTAAATGGATGGAATGATACAGAAGCAAGAAGCTTCTTTATGCTTCTCCTCAAAATCCATCAACTTCACCTCAGATCAATAGCTAGATGACACAAATGGGTGTTCCAACAGATAGATCAAAACTGGTTTTGGAATGGATAAAGCAGGCTAATGTTAAGCTTCTGGAATGACCTTCCCAAAGCCCCACTCTCAGCCCTTCTGAAAATGTGTGTGCTATGCTTAAAAGCCGGGCCGGTGCCAGGAAACCAATTCTGCCAAGAAGAGTAGTTAAATATCCAGCCAGAATTATGCCAGAGGCTTGTCGATTGATACTAAAAGTGTCGGGTTGAGGTGAAGAGTGGTACATTTGAAGTTGTATGTTTGACCCTGTGTGGATTACAGAAAATCCAAAATGAATTCAAAATGTTGAACCCGGTTCTTGATTTTAGATGTATGTTGTACAATTATTCGACCCTGGAAAAAGAAAAATTCAGAGAAATTATTAAAAGACCAAATTTGCATTGACATTTATCCCATTAATGATTGTACTTTATGTGTACTTCTGATAAAAAACTATATTTAGTTAAACTGATTTGACAGCGCTTTGGAACTAGCACCAATAATGTGAGGATTTTCTACTTTTCTTTTTAATTTGGCGTTAATCAGACAAAATAAGAAAACGAAAAACATTTCTCTGAGAAACCTGCTTAACTGTGAGAGGACTTGTTCTTGTTCTGACAATTTAGTATTTTCTTGAAAAAATAACAAAGCACTTACTCAAACAGTTTTACGCCAAACACACAGGAAAATGGTGATATTCATCTTCAGCACCACAGGGTGACAGCACTTTTATGTCTTTCTGTGTATTCAAGCATGCGTGTTTCCTCTCCAGGTAAAGGAGAACAGTCCTACCCAGACCTACTGGCACTGCTGATAGCACTGCTGGTGACAGTGATAGTGGCTTTGGGAGTGAAGAACTCTGTTGGTTTCAACAACGCATTGAACGTCATCAACCTTATAGTGTGGGTGTTCATGATGATCGCTGGCCTGTTCTTTGTAAATGGGGAGAACTGGGACGAGGGGAGATTTCTGCCTTTCGGCTGGTCAGGGGTATGCATCCGAATGTATATATAAACACACACAATAAATAACAAACAAACAAACAGAAACCCCCCTACCATCAGCAGGGTATCTGTGCTGTTTGGTTGTTTTCTTTAGGACATCCATCAGCTCTGTTTCCTCTGTGTTGCAGGTGATGCAGGGTGCAGCCACCTGCTTCTATGCCTTTATTGGATTTGACATCATTGCTACAACAGGAGAAGAGGCCAAGAGTCCCAACACCTCCATCCCCTATGCTATCACCGCCTCACTCATCACCTGCCTCACTGCCTATGTCTCTGTGAGTTAGCTTTATAACATATTGCATAAACAAACATGACCACTCTATTCTTTATATATCTATTGTTAAGTAATCAACAAATCTATTGTTATTCACACTAATAGTTTTGTGTATAACAAAGTAGAGCGTCATTCATGTTATGGTGGTTTCCGTTGATATATTTTGTAAAATGACTTAATTTAATTATAAACCTAAAGAATATTGATCACTTATCATGTGCTGAAATTCAGCTTTAGCTTCAGCTGCCTGCTCTCCCCCAAATGTTGACAAGTTTCCAATACACGGAATGAATAAATATGAAGATGCTGTATTTCAAATTTGTGGGTGTATATCTAATCTATGATCTCCACCTTTACAGCCTGTACAGCTTTCCTGATTACATAATGTGTGCTGGATGGTTGTTGCTATGGGTGCTGTGGAACAGCAGCCTATCAGATATAAGACGTTTTTCAGCATTTTGTGTGGCAAAGATTGCATCAACTTCAAAAACTTGAGTGCTTCTTTTTGAAATCCTTGTCTCTCTCTTTCACAGTCACATCTATTCCTCCACATCATCGCTCTCCTATGCACCAGCCTCTCTCTAATCTCCACCTTTCTTTGATCTCACTCACTGTAGGCTGCTTGGAATAACTTTTCTGCTGCTGTGAGGATCCCGTGGTTGCTGCTGTTCAATCTTCAGAAATCAGCTTAAACACATTACCTGTCACATCTTTTTGTGTGTGTGTGTGTGTGTGTGTGTGTGTGACATTGATTTTTGCAGTACATTTAAATCAAAGAGTTTGCAAGGCAAACTTATGCTTGTTTGTCAGTTTCTGAGCTTTTCATTCACTGTTAGTGATGACATATCTATCCTTGTACGGCCTTGCAATACTGTGGTCTTCAGTTTAGGTTGGGGCAATGAGCAGCAGGGGAGAGAATTGTGCTGATTATTTTTTCTGGGAAGTCCTTTGCTCTGGAGATGGGTAATATGAATTTGCCAACTAAACTTAGCCGACTGTGAGCTGAAGGGGACACTGAAAAATACATTTTGGGATCGGATTTGTGCTCTAAGCAAATATGTTGTTGTAGATTTGTTTTAGATTATTTTACCCCCTTATGACTGGTTCACACACAGTGTTAGCCAGTCTTTTCATTCTGTAAGGGGTTAGTGCTTTTTATTATTATTACTCCCCTTCTGTAATCCATTGATGCAAATCTATCTGATTAGCAGCACAGCATTTGTGACAGATGGCTCTGCATGATATCACACATCAGACACAGGGACACACATATTGAGTGAGGCACGAGTAATGACCACTTTGCATGTGATGGAGCATGCTCTGTAATGAGCATATTAGCTAAGCAAAACTAAGCTCTAAGGATGTAGCTCAACTCTTTTTAGTATCTAGGGTCTAAATGTTGATGTGACTATAGGCTCTACAGAGTTACTCTGAGAAGAGCCTCCACAAGAAGTCGAATTAGTCTCTTTTCTGCAGCATCATCCCGCAGCATTAATACACTATAATTCTGGCAGCAAAAATCTAATATTTCTGCTTGTTAACACTGGTATTAAAGTTTCTCTGTACTTTAATAGATTCATGATGAGATTTTGATTTTATGGTGAGAACTGCAGTAAAGATTTCTTAGTAATAATCAACACTATGTTTGTTTTTTTTATTCCAGGTTTCTGTGATTCTGACACTGATGGTACCATACAATGAAATTGATGAGGATGCACCACTGATGGAGATGTTTGCCATGCATGGTTGTATGTTCGCAAAGTACATAGTGGCGGTAGGCTCTATAGCTGGACTGACTGTATCCCTCTTGGGTTCGCTGTTCCCCATGCCCAGGGTCATCTATGCCATGGCAGGAGATGGCCTGCTCTTTAAGTTAGTTCACACTGTACTTGCATTTTTATTTATATGTCATTCTTAATGATGTTTGCATATGAGTCTCATCTCATCTCTTTTTTATAGGTTCCTGGCCCATGTGTCTTCCTACACAGAGACCCCTGTTGTAGCCTGTGTGGTTTCAGGCTTTCTGGCTTCCTTGCTGTCCCTCCTGGTCAGCCTTAGAGACCTCATAGAGATGATGTCCATAGGAACGCTTTTGGCCTATACCCTGGTGAGTGTTGGATAATAATAATGGAAACATGTACATCATGAAGCTTACTCTCAATATTATTTAGATCAGTTTTCCTTAAAGAAGTTTTTCCTTCCACATTGAGGGGCATCTGATTGTCTTTACCTTACAATATAAAGTGCCTTGAGGCAACTGTTGCTATTTGGTGCTATATAAATAAAATTGAATTGAACTGAATTGAACTGAATGCATTTAATATATCTGGATAAAGCCCTTGAGATGTATTTAAGGATGTCTAAACAAACATACTAGCAACAACTGCTAAGCAGAACAATACAAAGCCACAATCTCACTGTATTACACTGCCTTACAGAGATCAATTCACAGTATTTTGTAACCAGGGGGCATCCATAATCCAGCAACAATTGTTTTATAAGAACTAAGTGAAGATGCGTTGCTCAGCTTTCATCTCAACTCTAAGAAATTTATAGCCTGAAAACAGAAAGATTGGTGTTTCTTCTCCTAAGTAGCTATACATTCAGATTTGACAAAAAAGCACTGCTCTTTAAAGGAGCTATGAAATACTGCACACAATAACAGATACCTTGCTAGGAAAAATAATCTCTCTAGTGCATGATTTCCTATGATAACAGGATAGCTGTATGTGTTCATAGACAACAAATCTTAACAGAGTCACCAGTATGTACAAGACATGTGGGCATCTGTTTTTTTTAGGCTCTAAAGATTACCTTCTACCCATGGCTGCACAACACTAGTTAGATGGTAAGCAGTTAACTAAGATAATAATGAGTCACTGATTTATGAACCAGTCAGTTTTTGTAAAAACTAATTATTGAGCTGTTTGTTTTGAAATAAAACATCCACACAATTCCTGTGGAATGGGAATGTCACTACTAAAAATGGTTTTGTGATGGAGCTCCTGTTTATAAATGACATGTGTTTTGCAGGTGAGTCTCTGTGTGCTTCTCTTACGCTACCAACCTGAGGGAGACATCCATGGTTTCGTGAACTTTCTCTCTGAGGAGCAGAATAAAAAGAGGAAGGAAGGCGTTCTGGCTGAGTGTGAGAAAGACGCCTGCTCACCAACCAGCGAGGCCGATGAGTATGGCGGTCCGCCCACTAACACCTGCGGAGCCAAAAACCTGCCTTCACTGGGTGACAATGAGATGCTGATTGGCAAACCAGATAAAAATGCATACACGGCCAATCACCCTAACTATGGTACAGTGGATATGACTACTGGTATTGAAGCAGAAGAATCAGAAGGTGGCCTGTCCCGGCGGTTAAAGAAGCTGATTGGACCACGCTACTACACCTTGAGGATCCGACTGGGCCTACCGGGAAAAATGGATAGACCGACTCCAGCAACGGGGAAAACTGTCACTGTGTGTGTTCTGCTGCTCTTCATCTTCATTTTTGCTTTCTGCTCCTTCATAATTTTTGGTGAGAACAAGTTAACAAACTCACACTCACATTTGTATGATTCAGGCACAGATTGGTCAACAAATAATAAAAGCGTTGAACTGAATTGAATGAATTATTTCTTCCTTTCAGGAGCTAGCACTATTGGGGAGGGTCGTTGGTGGGCCTTGCTGCTATTGATCGTCTTCATCATTATCATTGCCCTACTAGTCATCATCATCCTGCAACAACCAGAGAATCCTAAGCGACTTCCCTACATGGCACCCTGTGTGCCCTTCGTACCTGCTTCAGCCATGCTGGTTAATATCTACCTCATGCTCAAACTGTCTGCAATCACCTGGATAAGATTTTCAATCTGGTGCCTCGTGGGTAAGTAAATGATGTTTTATTTGTTTGCTTTTAAATTAACTTTAAAACATTCGGAAAGAGAAAAGATAATGCTTTTATTTAGTCAGTTCCACACCTGTCAGTCATGTAGAAGGACAAGCAGGAACTTAATGAGACTTTTGTTTTAGTTTTGTCGTGTTTAATCACTATGCAGGTTGGTTGCTAAATTATTTCCATGTTGTATGCATGAAAATAATTCAATATAATTATAGAATGTAATGTATATATGTTTGGCAATGGTTTATATGAAAACTGGCTGCTTCCATCTCAATATAGCAGTGAAACAAAAAGCCAACCAAAATATTGCACTGTAAGCAATGACTCATGACAGTTGATACTTAGTGTAACGACTGAGTAATTAAAAATAACTATTTTTTTAATTTAAATTTTGTGACCAATAAAGAACAGACTGTGTGTGACTTCTTGTTTGTTTTATTGTGGAAGACCTGGGGCATCTAACTTTCCTTTTCCTTCCTGCCTCAGTTGTATCTATCTGAGCACCTATTTTTAACTTGCCTTTATAGCTGCAAGAGTGAAAGGGAAGGTTTACAAGAAGGTAGTGAGACCTGCTTTGATATGTGGTTTGTAAACAGTGGCACTGACAAAACTTCAGGAGCCTAAGATAAAGTGGCAGGGATGAAGATGCTAAGATTTTCTTTGGGAGTGACCAGGATGGACAAGATTAACAATGAGGACATCAGAGGGACAGCTCATGTCGCAATAGCAAGGCTGAAATAGCTTGGGCATGTACACAGTACATGGTGGGTATACTGGACAAAGGATTTTGAAGATGAAGCTACCAGGCAAGAGGAAAGGAGAAAGACCAAAGACAAGATTCATGGATGTAGTGAAGGAGGACATGCTTGTTGTTACAGAAAATGATTCTAGGGACAAGGTGAGATGGAGGCAAATGATCTGCTGTGGCAACCCCCAAAAGGATACGGCTGAAAGGAAAAGGAGAGTCCAACAGAGCTTTTAGGTTGATGGAGATTTTCCTTTTTTTCTGTATTTTTATTTAAGCAACTAAAATCATGCCCCAAGGTCTAATAAATATGATCCACTGGATTATGTATGTGTGAAAAATATTAACATGTTCTGTTCTTGTAGGTGTGCTCATATACTTTGGCTATGGCATGTGGAATAGTACTCTGGAAATCACAGCCAGAGAGAATGAGGTGCATGCTTCCACCTACCAGCGCTACGATCAAGGTGTTGACGAAGGCTTCTGCGGCTTCGAAGATGATTTCTACCCACCTACCACTGACGCCTGGGGTGCGCCAGACGGGGCATCAGGGCTAACCTCGCCCCCTGTGGCAAAACCTGAAAATGATGGGATGCCATCGAAAAGTGGAGGCAGAACCATTGCCAATCATGGCCTCGCGGAGGAGGATCCAATGGATTTCTAAGGGACTGACTCTGCGTTACCCTGAATGTACTGCCTTGTCTGCTGCCTGGGGGATGGGTGGGGAAGAATATGTGAGTGCACGAATGACTCTGTGTGTGTGTGTGTGTGTGTGTGTGTGTGTGTGTGTGTGTGTGTGTTTGTGTGTGTGTGTGTGCGTGTTCATGCCAGCATGTGTGTTTTTTTGTGTGTCCAACTCTTGGGCTAGATTGTTTGTTGGCAGTGGAACTGCTTTTCTATCACTTTATTCCACCGTGCCTGGCTCCCCCGCTTCCACAGAAATTTAGATGTCAAGGTCGTGAGTGTCTTGACTCATTTTCTTGTTATTACTTACTGGAATCCACATGCCACACAAAGAAAGGCCAGACAGAAAAAGTGCAGATGTAGCAAGAGATAAAATACAATGTGGCTCTTTGAACTCTGAACCAAATGAGAGTGTCTGTTAAGCAATTTTTTTAACTGTTTATTTCTCGGAATTACGAGATACAATAGAGGAGAAGGCAACGAGATAGGGCAGATAAATCAGCATGTTCCATCCTGTTTTAACAGACAGGCAGGAAGGTTAGATGACAGCACGGCAAGCCCAAATGACTTCCTGTGGACAGCTCTGGTTTTCTCCGTTCATTCGGAATTTTCAACAGAAAGCAAAAGTGCTGTGCATACCCTCAAAATAATAATAAAAAACCGTTAACCCTCAGTGTTATTTCATGCTTTAAATGTTTCCCTGACCCCAAACATCTAGCCCAAGTGATTCTGAGGTGAATGTGGGAAAGGGTGTCGATGTTTTCTGTCACAAATATTACTTGGACTTTGCTTGCAATAGTGCCTTCATCTACTGTATGTGTACGTGAGTTTCTGATTATGTCGGTTTTCTACTTTAATTTTGCCTGCGTGTGTATTTGAGGGTGTACTGCATGTACACTCAAAATCCACCTTTACATGGGTTATTATATTTGTGTTCGTATAAAGTGTGTTCTTCAGATTGTTTTACTCTGTATGTATAGATATATTTTCCCACTCTTCCCCAGCATGAAGCTCAGCGTGAATTCACTTGCAACAAATCAACTCATCAGTATATTGGAAAATAGGAGAGAGTAGTCGATATAAAAGCAAAAGAGAATGAGCTGAATCCTAACTGGTAACCACTATGGTTACTCTGAAGAAAGTCATGTTTTCTCCTGATTTTTTTTGCATGATAAGTTTACGATTTTATTTAAAATTCATTCAGAATGTTTTTTGACTTATGATCATCTGTTCTTTTTGCTTTCTTTTTTACCAAATGAAATGAAATCTAATCCTTCCTCTTCCTCCTTTCCTTTTCTTTCTTCAATTCCTCCTTCTTCTTCTTCTTCTTCTTTGCATTTTATAAGGTTCCACAATTCCTTTCTTCTTCCAAACCAACTCTACCTTCCTCTCGCTGCCACCTCACCCTCGGCTTGATATCCATCGGGCCATGTCATCCACTCTAAGCCACAAGTGATAGAGCCAGGATTGGTTTTCAGTCAGGATTTGTAACAGCAATCTGTTCATGGCCTGTCGATCTATTAGCTCCTGTTTCGCTTAAGGGTGTCCGCTATCGCTTTTCTGATTTGTCACTGGAGCGTTTACTACACTCCCTGTGGTCCTGCTCCCACTTAGGCTCAAGCTGGTATGAGTGAACTTCACTATTTGGCCCTACTTTGTTTTTAAAGCATGTAGCTTGTGCTGAAGTCCCACTCTTCACATTGTACCTACATTGCTGGTGCACTCTGAAGAGCTTGTGAAAATCAGCTGGATCAGATAATGAGCCAGTGTGGTTTAACATGTAGGACAAGTAAGCTACAGCCAAGGTTAGGGGTTGGATTTCATAATTAGTATGTACTGCAAAGCATGTTTAAGAGTAAAACACTTTTAAACAAGAGAATACAAAGTGCTTTACATTGAAGGGATTGTGCAATGTATCCATTCATGGCACTATAACTGATTTTGGCATCAACCAAAGCACCCCCCACCCTTATAGGTGGGGGTGCTTCTTCTATATAGCTGCTGCTGCTGTCTGCCCTGATTGTCCTACTTGTACCTTTTGCCCCTGTTGCTGCATCAGTCCCTTCCAGGGAAGCCTTATTTGTCTAATGCACTAAATCTAAGGATGCCACGCTATACCCCCACCCCACCTCTGCCCCCCTCACAACCATACACATTCCAAAAAACAAGAAAACAAAAATAAAACAAACCAAAAATGAAAAAATAAATTAAAATAATTATTATATCAACAGGCCCTTTGGTGATGTCCATTGAAGAGATTATACCAACTCCATATACACAGGGATTTATGTTCATATTGAATGATTCTGCGGGTAGCCAGCGCACGGAGCAGTATGCTGTGCAGGCAAGTGGAAGTTTAGGGAGTTGGAATTTAGTTGCGGTTGAGTGTGAAGCCTATGTAGTCTGCCAAGGTCATGACTTTAGTATCTTTTATGGAAATGTGACTGGGTTATTGACTTGAGGGGGGGGAATCATATTTTACGACCACAATATTACATTAAACCACACTGTAAGTTCCAGCCATGGATGTTAGAACAACTGATATTTTATAGCAGTTTTTTTACGGTTGGCACAGGAAAAAATAATAGAAAGTTTTGCAGAATTGTCCAATATAAACATTATTCTAGGTGATACAGTTGGAAAAGCATTTGCACATTAAGTCTCGCACACATCTAAACATATTTTCATTTTGTACTTTTGAGCCAAAATACCCACTCAGATCACTTCCTAACTCAGCCAAAAGAATCCAACAGCTTTGCATTCATAGCTCAGCCAAAACAAAAAAGTAAATTCAGGCGATGCCATTCCTCTCACACTGGACTGTACAGCCGACTTTCTATATTATTTGATCTGCGTGTGTGTATAAAAACTGTGCGAATGCATGTGCTGTATGTGTGTGCGATGTGTGTTTGTGGTCTACGCCTGCGCCTCAGTGTGATCGTCTGGTGAATGTGTAGCATGCTGTCATGCACGAGGCCCAGACTATACATGTTGTACTTGCATGCGGTGACTGATCGCAATGACCTGTAATGGAACACTAAACCAAACCAAATGCAGGCTTAATTCTTATACCTGGGAACGTTGGCCTCTCTGCTCTGGAAGGACTAATGTTTAACAATTTAATAGGTTAAATAAAACCACTATCCTACAGGATGATTTTGTGCATTTGTTGCACTTTGCTGCATTTTCTATTCTGATGGGAACCCAGAATTTTACTTTATAACTCAATACTATGTTAAATGAAAGAGCTAAAGGAATATTATATACGATATCTCCTTGCCCAGGTATGAGAACCAGGACTCCATTTGAAAAAGAAGGAGTACATGTAGCAAACACACTGATGTGGGTTGCTCTTCTCACATCCTTCCTCAAGCACTTACAATATGCCTACTTCCTCTTTGTCCATCTTCTCAACCACAACCTCTGCAAGCCAAAGTCCACAATGTTTGTTTACTTTTCACGTACAGAAGGCTGTAGTTTCTTCAGAGTGAAGACCTGAGAAAAAAACAGAGCTAAATTTTTTTCTTCTCTTCTAATAAGCTACTTTATCACAAGCAGACAGATTTTTCTTTTATTAAAGTGACTTTGGTCATTGGTATAAAGGATAATTTCTGAATTTTTGCTAGTATTTCGTTAATATTTAAAGTATTAGTGTAGAATCCGATGCATCTGTTCTGCAACGACACGATGCGGTGAAAAGTACAACACTATAGGAGGAGTGAACTAAAAGAAAGGTATTTTTCTACAGCTGTTTCCCATTCACGGATCCTCCTCGGGAAGGTGTACACAGCAGAGTTGGGTGGAGTTATCAGTCTTCACTGTCTGTGGTTTTGTTTAATCACAAGGAGGCCTGGGAGAAACTGCTAAAATATATTTTTAACAGCCATAGTCTCTCTAGAATGAAAAGGCTCATTTATAAACGTTAATATTTTCCTTTGAAGGTTTTTCAAATGGTTGTTCAAGACGTCAATACGACTATAGGTGGTTTAGGAGTAAGAATACTAATAACTAATAAGAGAAAACACGCAGAAACTATTTTAATACGATTCTATAAATGGTAAACTACACACAAAATCAAAGATTGCCTCTGTTGCTTTTAAAGTCAGTTACTGTTTGTTTATTTAGTCTTGGAGAAGGTGTGCCATGTTCTTCCTGTGCTCTGTGTTCACTGTGGCCAAGCGTCCAGTCAGTGTGTGTTGGACTTGTTGAGATTGGCTTCTCTTGCAACAGCAGATTTTATTCCTTTTCACTTCTGTATATTTTGGCACAAAGCTGTATAATGTAATTGTTTTTAATTTTTGTTTTTTAAAGGTTTCTTCCATATGTGTGGTTAATTTGCTCCTGGGTGCACTGTTTTTGCTGAGTTGTTGATATTGCTTCCATGCAACAATGAAAGTTAGTTATTGCAATTACAAAACAGTGGCTTGCTCGTTTATTCGCACATTTATTCACACATTAGGTGAATGCACATGCATACACAGATGTTTTCCGTGTCTTTTCCCTCTAAAACTAAAAATTTAAAATAGATATATTTTTATTTTTTATTACATACAAATTCTTATGTCTGTGCAAAAGTATGCAGTTAAAGTTTTTGGCTGCAATGCAGAAAGCAAGCTATTTTATGTTATATTCTATTTTTAACCGAAATGAGATACAAATTTACTTCTATTGACCATTTTAAAAAGGCATACGGATTGATTTCTCAAAATATAAAACTGTTGTTTTAGCATTTTGTCATCAGTATAAGATGTCTCACTGTTGCCATGTCTACAGAGGAGGACAGCTGGACCCCTACAATGGGGGACCCAGACAATACTGTGTATATTTCATGTTTCCACAGTATGATCGACTTTATTTGTTTTGAAATACTAGTATTTGGTATGTAAAAATAGACTTGTCCTGTTTTTTTAGTGCCCTCACAGCTATATGATAAAAAAAATTCTCATAATTAGCAGAACAGAAAACATAAAACATGCTAATTGCACACTAGTCTGTGTATTCAAAGCACTGGAAGGAAACCCTTGCACATGTGTTTCCTGCACTGACTGAAATGGCAGCTCAGGTGCATTTATAAATTTATGACCCCCTTGAACTCCTCTTTTGATCTGTTTTAATTTTAGTTAGCTCTCAAAATCAGAATCAGAATCAGAAAGGGTTTTATTGCCAAATGTTGAGCAGGTTTACCACATTAGGAAATTGCTGCGGTGCTTCAGTGCAAACATACTGTCATAAATTACGCTAAAATAGACATGAAAATAAAAATAAGAATAAGAATTAAAAGTGCTAAGTAGATAGATATATACATGAGTGCAGGTGGTGATCAGTGCCAAACATGGAATGATGCAGTGAACACAGTGTAGGGTCATGTGTTAGTGGTGGGAACAGTCATACGGTTATTGTTCATGTGTCCGACAGCAGAGGGGAAGAAACTGTTCTTATGGCGAGAGGTTCTGGTGCAAATGGACCGGAGCCTCCTGCCTGAGGGGAGCAGGTCTAATAGACTGTGTCCAGGGTGAGAAGGGTCAGCTGAGATCCGAGCTGCACGCCCCAGTGTCCTGGAGGTGTACAGGTCCTGCAGAGATGGGAGTCTGCAGCCAATCACCTTCTTAGCAGAGCGCACAACACGCTGCAGTCTCTGTCCCTGATAGTGGCTCCAGCGTACCACACGGTGATGGAGGAGGTGAGGATGGACTCGATGATTGCAGTGTAGAATTGCATCATCGTCCGTGTTGGCAGGTTGAATTTCTTCAGCTGCCTCAGGAAGTACATCCTCTGCTGGGCTTTCTTGATGACGGAGGTGATGGTGGGCTCCCACTTCAGGTCCTGGGTGATGGTGGTACCCAGGAAGCGGAATGAGTCCACAGAGGTGATGGGGGTGTCAGTCAGGATGATGGGGGGGGAGTGGGGCTGTGTGCTTCCTGAAGTCCACAATAATCTCCACTGTCTTCTGGGCATTCAGCACCAGGTTGTTGTGGCTGCACCAGGACGCCAGACGTTCAACCTCCCTCCTGTAGGCAGACTCATCCCCGTCCGAGATGAGTCCAATAACGGTGGTGACATCTGCAAACTTGATTAGCTTGACAGACTGGTGGGTGGAGGTGCAGCAGTTGGTGTACAGGGAGAAGAGCAGAGGAGAAAGAACACAGCCCTGAGGGGAGCCGGTGCTGATGGTCCGGGAGTCCGAGACATTCTTTCCCAGCCTCACATGCTGCTTCCTGTCCGTCAGGAAGTCAGTGATCCACCGGCGTCTCAGTTATCATAGAATACATCTCAGAATAAATTGTAGGCACTTGCACCTGCAGGCACAGCTTTCATGTCTGTGTCAAAACAGCCTCTGACCCCTGTATAACATCTGTTCCTTATATCCAGGTCACTCCTGTGCTATTTTACTATTTCACTGTTTTGAGATTCTCCCATGAACCCTCAAAAACCATGTACCTGTCTCTGCAGGAACCTGGGCAAACACAGACAGTCGTCATGACAATGTCAAGGTTCCCCTTAAACTTTATCACCATTGTCCAATAAAACATAATTTCAACTTTTAGGTTAAAAGAATGACATTTTAACCTAAAAGTTGAAATCTGGTACTTGAACAGCATATAAGGATTAAATGTACTTAAAATCTGGTATTATTTATAGTCTTTTACAGTATGAAAATACAGTGAGGGACATTCTGCATCAGTGATGAAGAAACTGTGAGAAATCCATTACATAACAGGCAGAAATAACAATGAAACACCCACATCAGCAGTGTAGACCACTGCGTTGTGGTCAAGGGAAATCAAACATTACTATGATTTTCTTCACAGCTGAAGAAAAATTAATGGATGTTTACATAGTGGATTTGAACTGGATTCGGGACTGAAATGGAAATAGAAAAGCTAGGTTGAATGATGGCGCAAACACAAGAAGAGAAAATTAAATACTTAGTCAGAAAATAAAGATTGGTGTATGAGAATGTCCCAGGAGAGATTAAAAAAATCCCACAATTAGTTTATTCTTTGCTATAAACTGCCAACTGTGACTCCCATGATGTACCTACATTGTAAGCATCATTAGGAACTGGTAAGTACTTTTAGCTACTGAAAATGATACAACATGGTAAATGGGAGCCATATTACCTTCAAACTTCTTAGTCAGTTCTGTCCCTGATGGACAGCAGCAATATTTATGTATAGGATATCATAACACTACAAGTCTTTTTCAGCAATACAGGACAGCTTGTATGCTTGCTATCCTCCCACTGGCCTCCTGTTGACTGGATGGCTTTATGCCTAGAACAGCATCACATTTCAGGGAATACACACACCGACATGATCACACACCTGCACTCACAGGCGTGCCAGGAAATTCACATGCAAAGCGACAATGATATGCAGAAATACAGTAACACAGTGGAAATCTGTACGCACACTATAGATGGTTGCGTGTGTGGTAGGAGAAAAGCTCAGGACAAAGAGATAGCACATTTTGTTTTCAAAGTGTCATGTCATATCTGTGGTATGACTAAGTGACCTCGATATGGGCACAGAAGTGCACACGAAGGAAACAATTATCTTTCTTAGTTGCATATTATTTGTGTGGTTGAAACAGGCTTTCATTTACTGATTTAACTCAAGGTCACTGAGTCACATTTTATCACAGCGCGTAATGTTTTCTCATTGTCTTCAGTTCAGATTTGTAAAAAATACAGACTCATGCACAAACACGCCAATTATAGTTTGTCTTTGTAACTAATGTGCAACAAAAATCAACACAGCATGTTACATTGCAGTATATCTCACACATCCACACCACATGCTTTCTCCAGTTTCTTTCCACCCATAAATAGAAAAAAAAGAAGATAAAAAATACCCTTCCAGCATTATTCATTTCACTACTTTGCCTTTATTGCTGAAAATAAAACAACACATAAGTAAAAACAATAAATAGTCATTGCCGACGCTGCTTATGTACAGAGTTGCTTGAAAGTATCAGGCTCCATCTGTGTTATATTCTTTCACGAGAAATTAATCGACACAATGCTGCTTTTTTGCACACACAAGTTAAACATACTTTTAGCTGTAGACATTTTTCAAGAGCTAATATATGAGAAAATTTAACTGATATTTTGTGGGAAAATTTACAACACCTGAAGTTACATTTTGCCAGAAAGTCATTATTCAAACATTAAACTGTAGCAAAAGAAGGGACTAAGAAATACTGCTATCAGATGACATAGTTCAAAGTTGTATTCTACAGTAAGGTTTTTCAGTGCAAAAAGTGAGACTTTAATGAAGCCTGTAACACTGGTAAAGCTCTCCTGTAAAATTTATGACCTCATAGTTCTACCATCATTCAGTGGGGACTAGAACAGAAAGCAGTGGTACATCATTTTAATCAAGTCTATCACTCAAGAGGCTAGAGAGTTGTATAACACTGTCAAAGAAAATCAATGTGCATAAACATTGAACATGCTTTTAATTCCAAGAACAATACTGTCATACCCTGCAAAAATCAAAGCAATAGGTCATGATATTATTCAGTTTAAAAAACACATTCATTAACAAAGGCACTCAAAGGATTTCATCTTTAGGTACACAATAGAGAAAAAATAGAATACAGAATAGAATACAATGTCTGAGTGACACAAGGCCTCATCTGACTATGACCTCAGGTGACTGAGCATCCGTTGCTCAGAGATTCTACAATTATGCAACATTTGGGAATGTTTGCACCGCACCCAAGATGAGGAGGCTGGAAGACACAAAAACAGTCCACTGGTGGGAAAACGACTCCACCAAAACAGTCTTTTATGTTTGGATTTTTGTGTATGCATATGCGCGCATTCAAAAATGTGAAATTTCCATTTCATGAATGGGTGTGAGAATGGGTTGCCTTCTCTTCTGGGACATGTAAAGATTACTGCAATAAACGGGGATATATTAACACTCGTGGATAGGTCTCTATGTACAAACCACTGCTATCAACAATCCACATGGGCTTAATCTCCAATCTTAGACGTGGGCGCTTTTGGCATGATTGGTGGAGGGCGCAGCTGGTGGGTTGCTGCCTCCCTGTTTGGAGTAATAAAAATGGTTGTTCTCCTGGTAGGAGCGAGACGAGGAGGAATCGGATGAGCAGGTGACGATGGATCCACCGAGCAGGCTGAAAATAGTGCCCACCCACCCAGAATAGAGGGAGAAGCCAAATGACATGAGGCCATACTCACGATGGGCCCCAATGGGAAACCAAATAGTGGACACCAAACCGCAGATTGCTGAGGAGAAAGAGACAGACAAAATGTTCAGTTAGAAACAGGAAATTAATGTAAAAAAACATATGATTAGATTTTATGAGAACCGAATCTTGAATTTAAACTCATCCCAAAAAGCCTGTGTAAAACAAACAATGTCTAAATGTAAAAAATTACATTTA